CCGCATGTTCTCTCGTGAACAGGGTTCTGGCTGCTACGTGGTTCCCCGTATGCCTACAATCAATTAGGAGTAGACAGGTAGTGTGGGGTGAAATTGAGAGAAGAATGTAGCTTTTTTTAAAAAAAAAAAGAAAAAAAAAAGGTGGTTGGTCTTGTTGGGACGCTGTCGGCCGAGACACAATGGGCGTCGGATGTTAGTATACGAGTATAATCGGATTACCAATGGGCCTAGCTCAGTTGGTATACCCACGAACTGTTGAAATACAGACCCAAGTTCGAATCCAGACACGATCAGATGAGCAGAATAAAATCGTTCTGAATTACCTGGGGCCGGTCAGTTCCATGATGATATCTCAAGGCCGTCGCCCTTAAAAAAAAAAAAAAAAAAAAAATGAAGAAAAAAAAGAAAAACAAGTATAATCGAATTTGCTCATGGCGAGGACCCTTCAAAGAGCCTCTACCATCCACTGACTGGGCGATGGGGCAATTAAGCAACGATTTTCTGCTATTTATCGCTAGTTGAAATGCCCGGAAACGTGTGAATGTACTTTTTTGCATTGGGAAAAAAAAATGAAGAAAAAAAAGAAAAACAAGTATAATCGAATTTGCTCATGGCGAGGACCCTTCAAAGAGCCTCTACCATCCACTGACTGGGCGATGGGGCAATTAAGCAACGATTTTCTGCTATTTATCGCTAGTTGAAATGCCCGGAAACGTGTGAATGTACTTTTTTGCATTGGGTTAATAATAATAACTCGATACACATTCGTATGGGTCAATAATAATAACTCGTTGTCTCCTTTGTCTTCCAATGTTGATGGCTTCATCCTTCTTGCATATCTTTTTTGAATGTTGTCAGTACAGACACTTTCTGGGGATCCACAAACAATGGCTTCCACAGCCAAACATGTCAGCTGGATGTGGAGTTGGGCATACTGGAGCACTCAATTTCTTACTTGGTATGTCTCAGCGCTGCCGTCATTCGACCAGGAGAAGCATGTTGGTTGTCTTCAACATTATTGACTCCAATGCATCTCCTTTCCATCCCTCTCTCCCTCTCCCCTCTCTCTGTGCCTCTCTCTCTCTCTCCCTCTCTCTCCCTCTCTCTCCCCCTCTCTGTGCAATGCATTTACCTGGCCTGATGCATAAAGCACCTTGGCTATTCTCCTGATCCATGTATCAAAGAATCACGTAATCGGTTCCGCTAATTCAACCTCTTTTTTTTTTTTGGGGGGGGGGGGCATTTCTCGATTTATGCGCGTCATCCTTACCTAATATAGCAAGCACGTAATCTAACTTATGGGTGTCCCCCTGACCCAATCTACACCTAATCTAGTCCCTACTAAGCAGCTGCCGTTTTCCCCCGAACACAATGCGCCCTGACAATAAATCATAAATGTATATACAAGCTATCTCTCCGATTCGGTATAGCCATAATAATGGTGTGTTATGTTTGGGGGAAGACTGTAGTCAACTCCCCCGATCCTGTCACCTAATATACTAGCTAGCTTCACCTTATTCACTTACCTAAAAAAAAAATATAAAATATATATATAAAAAAATGATTAAAATCTACTATCTTATCTCCTGATCCACATACCTTATCAGGGAATCACTAATCGACTCCACTGAGGCCGTTGCCTTTTTCTTTCTAATTAAAAAAAAAAATGCAAGAAACAGGGAAGTCGGTCTGTTGCGAGCCTTGGCTCGTAAGGTAAACTGGCTGAGGCTGCCAGGATAACTCCGGGTTGAATTGTGAGGTCCCCGGCCTCTTTCCAATGATTTGTTGTGTAATAAAATTTCCAAGCTTTAAAAAAAAAAAAAAAAAAAAAAAAAAGAAGCTACGCTACATTCTTCCCTTGATTCTTTTTACCTCACACGAGCTGCCTATTGAAGGCTGGATATCAAGGGCACACCACCCACCCATCTTTTCAGTCTTAGGGCCTCGCTCCACTACTCTCGACATGTGGAAAATGAGAGTGAATCTTACGCTAGAACATGGAAAGATACACAGCCATGATTTCTGTCTTTTGCCCATGTCGAGAGTAGTGGAGTGAGTCGCTTAGCACCCACCTCCGGCCATACCTAAGCACTGCGGGAATATCGTTGCTTCACAAGGGTTGGGCCTAACCCCAGGCGAGGGATGGAAGGGACAAGGGAATTGCTCCCTCAGCGCGCAACAGGAGGCCGTGGGCAGTTACCTCTTTTCTTTTTCTTTGGACTATTTTTGAACCTGTGCGCTGTCATCCTGACCTAATCTACTAAGCACCTGATTTATTCTCCTAACGCACATGCCTAGTCTCCTGACTGCATCTACTTACCCTACCTATTACTGTCTTGAGATTTGGCGATGTACCTTGAGACAATCAACGAACCTAATTTTGGCACCTCCTGTAGGTCCATAATTGAATTGCCTAACCTATATACATAATACACATACGTATCATCTTCATCCGAACAGAACGCCCTGTCATTAGCGCTGTGTCTAGACAAAATGTTGCCTCACATACAATGATAAAGACTGGGTACTCTATTCGGGTGAAGACGGTAGTCTGGCAACTGCAGCTTTTATCTACTCGCGAATTCACGTACCTACCTACTTACCTCTCTTATATTGACTTTTTTTTTGTTTTGTTTTGTTTTTAACCACTAGTACCTTTGCCGCTTCAGAAATGAGGGAAAACGCCAGTCCCCGAAGAATTCGGAGGCCGGGCCCATTGACGGCTGCCTTTGATAAATCTAATCGGCGGCCGTCATTTTGCTTTGGCCTCCTGAAAGGTCGGAGGCCCGCTATTTTCCGAACCGACGAAGGTACGAGTGGTTATATCTACTCTGCTAACCCGCTTGACCAATCTGTCCGCCATCAAACTTGCACCTCTCCTGAGTTTTCTAACTTTTCTTGTTATCACCTACTACTGTCTTCCCCCGAACATAACGCACCCTAAAAATGAATGTATACAAGAGATATTTCCGGCCAGATACAGCCAAAATGAGGGTGCGTTGTGTTCGGGGGAAGACGGTAGTGGCAATTAACACCACCACATAAACCTATCTGTATTAATACTGATCATTTACAGTTACAATGGTTAGCAGGATTGATTCTGTGATGCAGAATCCGAAGAGTGGAGATCTGCGCTTTCCTGTCTACGCCATATGAGCCAGACTTTGTGACTACCGTGTTCACCCGAAAAGACCTCACGGTCATAATTGCTGTACCTAGACTGGAAACTGCGGCGAATAGGCATTGCAGTCCTTCACTCGCTGTGGAGGATGCAGGTGTTTGTTAGGTCGTACCCCAGCAGGACCTTTTCTACCAATCTCTGGACTTCTTTGCGGTCAGGTTCATCCAGGCCTGGCTGTAATTGCAGTTAGATGCGTTTAGGAACGTGCGAGTGTGAATATGCCCTTGTCATCCATCATACACGCTTGGGCATTGTTTAGGTGTTGGAAGTGATTCACGGCAGTTTCATGCTTGATGAGAGAGGCAGCAAGTGCCACTTCTTCTTCTTCTTCTTCTTCTTCTTCTTCTTCTTCCTCTTTTTTTTTTAAATATATATCGTCAAACAGAGCTGCCCGGTAAACCGTAGGCAGAGAGGGAGAAGAGGAGAAGAGGACAACAAACGAGGCGCTGTGACAAACTGTTTCATCGGAGTTTCACATATATATCGTCAAGAGATTATATCCTACAGTCCGATAGACAGCTGATTGGACTAGATTTGGCAAAGAAAAAAACAAACAAAACTAATCTGATTGGACCAGGACTGGAATTCATGACCTGGTATTGTTAAGAGCTAGATGTGTCTGCCATTCAGGCACGTGCTCGGTACCAGCAAGTGTCGTACGTCAGTTCACATTCTGTCTCTTTGGCAGGTTCTTTTGCTTTCTGTCTTTTTGGGTATTGTAGCTACTTTTCTCTGGTGTTTCCTTTTGTAATAACTCAGCTCTAATCATGTAATAGTCATGAGCCATAGGTCGTCATTTCGGACAAAGGGCCGAATTGGGGGCCAACGGCCACACCCGGGTCCTAGAAATTGCCTGAAACAAGGCCTGCTGCTGTGGGTACCCGAAGCATGGCCTAAAACTGGGCTTCAGAGGCCCTACGTGCGACAGTTAACCAAGGAAAGTCAAAGGTCAACAGCAGCTCGGACATTCAGGCTCATGAGTCAACGTCAATGCACCCAGTCCAAGCCACCGATCAGACACACACACTTGGCTGTTGCAGGGATCTGTCAAGAATCCAGTCCAAGTGGGAATCTGCAACTGTATGAGATCCAGACCATTGACTGTGGGTCAATCTGGGCCGTCATATCCGAGAGACCAGAGGCTGGTCAACCTCGAGTCAACAGTATAAGTTGACCCACTCCCTGTTGAAAGACATTCAGTCTTGCGCTTGCTGCCTGACGCTGGCTTGATGCTGGCTCTACGCTGGTTTGATGCTGGATCTACGCTGGCTCGATGCTGGCTTGACATTGGCGCCTTCTCTGTCTGTGACGCCAGCTGGATACTTTGACTTTGCTGACGTGGCTCTTGCCACACTGTCTACGAGACTGATGAGACATTGGCGAGGAGTATCATGGCTGTGAGACTGTGGGGACATCGGGGAGGAGGAGGATCATGGCTGTGAGATTGTGGGAAAGCTTACCTGTCTGCGTTCGTGATCGATACTGCGCATTGCTGATTCGTCTTCAGAGGTTGTCTGCGCTGTTCAGGCGCCACGTGGATATCTGTTCATTGTCAGAGTGTGTCAGAGGAGACTGTCTGCTGACGTGGAGAGTTGGAGATGCCCTAAGGAGGAGTGGGCATGTGAGGGAGATCTATCTGCTACGCTGATGGACATTTTCTCTTCCACCCTCTAAGCCTTATCTTCCTCCTATCAGCCTCCTCTTCTCTGGCGATGTGACGTTGGGCTACTTGATTACTGGTACGATTTTTGGAGACATTGTATCTACGCTGAGACTTACCGTTTCTGGACATTGACGAGCTTTCTATCTGACTGGGTTCATTGCACTTTTGTGAGACGAGAAAAAAATGATTCGATGTGTGTGACTGTGGATTGTGCCGTGTGAGCATGAGCATTAAGCAAGTTAAGGATTGAAACAGCTTCATTTGTTTGTGGTTCTTTTTTCTTCTCCTTTTTTTTTTTAATAAACCTGATAAGGTTATTGTATTTTTTTTCTCCCCGCTAGTTACCTTTTAATAACATTATTATATCTCTTCCCCCCCCCCCCGCCTTAGCGTTGACAGTTGGCTTTCCATGTTTATGATTGATCTTTTCTGAACCTCTCCCCGAATGTTTTTCTTCATAACGTTAACGGTTCTCTTTCTGTCTGTGTGTTGTTCCCCCCCCTCCCCCCCACCCCACCCCTTTTAGGGCCATCATTCCCATTCACCAAGGGTATGCGGACGCTGGAGACTTCACTGTCTTGGCACGATTGAAGACGAGCTTACGCGACAATCTTCTGTTTTATGGAATAATGGGGGCGCTTGGGATAGTTGGGTTGATTGGTCTTCTCGCAGCTGGCAAGTTCAAATGGTGCGTGGACAATTTCGGAGATTTGTCCTGCGGGACATTCGTTAAAATTGGAACGATACAGAGAAAGCAGATTAGCATGGCGGCTCCTGCGCAAGGATGACGCACATGAATCAAGAAATACTCCAAATGTTTGCATAACTTTTACCTTTGCGTATTATCTTTTTCAGTTGTTGAATGTGTTTGGCTAAATCCGATTGCTCAATAGAGGACAAAAAATCAATTGTTCAGCTTCTCTTTTCAGCTCTTTGGCTCCTGTTCTATTTTGGGGTCTCGTCAATTTTCATTTGCATGTTTCGAATTGCCCTTGCCCCTCCTGTTCTTTCTTGGGTTCTGTTCAAAGGTGGTAGAGACGAATGTCTTATTGGACTTAACCCACGGGTTCTTTTACCAGCCAAATTTCTCTGATGCTGTCCGGGACCGGGCATGCCACGCGCCCAGTTCCCCGGCCTGCTAAGCGGCAGGTCTTTCATCCAGACAAAACCGGGTCATGCGCACAGAGGTTTTGCCTGTATGTATTTTCCGCTGCACGGCAGGATGATGCATTGTGAAAGACGTGGTGTGCCTGTGAAAAGTACTGGTGGTTTAGAAAGAAGGAAAAATAAAAAAGTCTTATTGGAAAGTCATGGCTTGTTGAATAGCCATGGGTTATTTTAGAAATCCATGTGAAGTCATGGCTTATTTCAAAGCCACTGACCTATTTGAAACTAATTTTTCTTATTTAATTTAAATTAAAAAAAAGCCATTGCTTCCTGGGTTTGGCTGCTAGGTTGCAGGAAAGGGGGCTTCACAGGGTGGCAATCATTATGTTGCAAGTGTGTAGGCTTTGTGTGTGAGCGCATAAGACACAAGTCCCAAACAACATCATCGATAGGGTACCTATCCTATCGACGACATGTTAAAAGGGCCTTTACCCGATATAGGCCTCAGGCCTTGTAAAAATAGAGCAGCACGGGCCTTGTAAAAGTAAAGCATTGTGAAAAGGTATCTTGCCAGGGCTCAGAAACGTGAAAACAGGTCAAAAGTCAAGTTCTCTATCAACAGGCACATCTAAATCTAAGGCAAAGGGCATTGTCAAAAGACTTACCTGTTCACCAGGAGATGTGTATGTCATGTCTGTTCGAGTAAGGGTG